TGTGGAAATTCTGTGTACTAAAAAGTTGTATCAAGAAATAATAAACTAGTATTAAGTAAGAAAGGACTTGTATCATTGAAATTACTCGGAAAGAATTTATACCGGAAATTAACAAACGAGCAGATACGCAACAATATTGAAGAAAAGATACAGAAGGTAGTTTGGCTCAACAAGAACATTAAACCACATTGTTTAATTAAATACTAAGTTAACTTTCTTATTAACCAACATAATTCTTGTGTAACGATAGAACTTGCACAAAATCCACCAGGGCAAACATTTTTCATCAGGTTAAAAATGGTACAGAACAGTGCCATATGTTTATTAACCCCCTAAGTTAATAATAATGGAGTTTTGTTTTCTGCTGAAATGTGTATTGACCTTTTTAAAAAAATATTGTGGTTATTAAGTTTAAATAGCCTTTGTGCCTGAGGAAATGGAATGCTCAACAACTCAAAGGAGTTATGGCGAAGAGGGAAGTCAGTCATTGAAGGAAGGCAGATGTACGAGAGAATTGTTGGATCTTGGATGAATCATTTTCTGGATGTTGAACTATTGCTGATGCTCTGAAGATCCGTGAATTCTTTCTTGTTAATGCCACAGGCTCAGAAAGGAGAACTGCAAAAATATGGATGCTCAGAATGGCTGGTGTTTTCCACTGATGATCAACTTCAGTTCAAGAAATGCTATGATGACTGAGGGTCATAAAAATGATGAGTACGTGACCAAATGTAGCAATTTATTGCAGGCTCTCAAACCTTTGCATGCTACAGCATCATAACCACCCAAGAACATAGGAGAGAGACTGGAGATGCTGTTGGTGGATGAGATCTAGCAGTAAGAACTATCTTACCAGCAGACGAGATGGCAGTCACTGAATGGTAAAGTACATGAACCATGGGACAGTGGTGAGCTTTTACAAGCCAGCAGGTATACTGACAAAACAGCCATATACCACAATGAACCCTGGAGTCATGTCGACCCAATGGACAAGCTGCTGAGTGCACTTTGACATTCTGCTACCCTAGAGTAGGATCCTAGTGCTCGTCAGATAGTTGTGATCCCTAAGTACCCACCACACTGTACTGTCTCAGTCTGGAGTTGGCCGTGAGAGAAAGGCTGAAGATGCCTTTTCAGATCCCTGTGAGTAATGCTAAGCAAATATCTCTCCTGACATTTAAGATTGCAGCCAAGGAAGGCCTGGATCATTTCCTTAATAATTTCAGACAAGTTACTGTCTGGAATGAGCAATTTCAGAGATAGGCAGTACAATGCCTGATGCTAAATCTGTGTTGTTTAGTGCTTGTCCCAATCAACCATTTGGATAAGGGGTGAAGAAAGAGAGATAACTTATCTGGATGTTCATGACAAGCTAGATAAGGAAATGCCAGGTTTAGAGATGAGAGACGACACCAACAATCAGCCAAGTCACTGCTGGTGACTTTCCAATCAATATGACTGAGATTTAACTCACTTATCCAGCATTTAGAACAATAATGTAGCCAAGTAGCTTTCCTTACTTACTTACTGAGCTATTAGATAGTACTATCAGGAACAAAATATGCACTACATTGTATGATTAATGCTCAATCTTCCAGCAGCTAGAATAGCCATGCTACTAAAAAAATCAATGATTGAAATGAAGTGACATCCCTTGCTGTCTAAGCTATAATGTAGCATTGTAAGCTACAATGTATACACTGAATTGTATGATTACCACTCTCTTATCTGAAGTCATAACAGATTGTTGGTCACATAATTAATGAGACCAAAAGCTATCAAGCAAAGTTTCATTATAAGAGATGTCTGTAGTAAACTGGGTGAGTGCTACTTCATTAACATTGTTATGACAGCTGGTGTTCATTAAAAGTTTATACAACTTAATGATGGCTTGAAGCCCCAAAACTGAAAGGGTTTGATAACACTTGCTTTCCAAGCTAACGAGTGATTTGTCCAAAGTAAAACATTTCATGAGAATCACTCACATGATTTAAATGAGTGGTGAGAACTCTACAGGTAATATCAAAAAGTCTTTGCTAGATTCTCAGGTGCACCTGAAAAACATAACTTTGTCATTTCAGTGAGGGGTGGTGTTTCATCAGAGTGAATAATGATAAGCAGTGTAGCAACAGCATCATCCTATGTGAACGTTGCATGTATGTACACAGCGTGGTCACAAGCAAATAGACACCACCTTTTCAGAAAAAAATGAAAATTTTCAGTCATATTCACATGAATTG